CATGAAGGATATTATAATTATATAGATATAGATATTCATGCCCATAAAAGAATATATAAGATACAATATGGTTCTTGAGATTTGGACATAAATACTACCTAGTCCTTCAACTCTCAAAATAAACCATTTTCTTTTATGAATGATGAATTTCGTATTATTATTATTTTTAGTACAAACATGTGGGGTGAGAGATCGAACTCACAAACTCTTGGTTGGAGATATATGTCAATTACCTGTTGGGATGGGTGGAGCCAAAATGACGTCGAAACGAGCTAGAGATGAGTCAGGATAGCTAGGACGCGTCGGGATCGAAGCGGAATGAAAAACAGGGAAGCTGAGCGTTGCAGACCACAAAAGCTGAGGAGGCAGCACTGTCCAGACGGGGCGCACATGTTTGCGCTCATTCCGTAGCACCATGGCACTCTGGATAGCGCCATGACATTGTGTCGACGTTTATATAAGTGCAATTTTCGATTTAGGGTTTTTTCTAACTCGATTCTGAGATCTTTTTAGAGGATTTTGTGGCAGTTTCAAGGTAAAGGCTCGGGGTATTTGGCAGAGACTTTGGAGCATATCAAGATTGACATTATCAGGTAATTGTATCTTTAATTCTTGTGAGTTTTTCATTCATGTTCCTAAGTATTAATTGTGTTAAAATACTTAGAAGTTAGGGGGCTTTTGTTGGAATCTCTAGGAAATATTTTGGGGAGAGCTTTGAATTCCAATCCTTAAAGAATTGTTAGTGAATTACACATATCTCTGAGTGGAAGACTGGACGTAGCCCTTAGTGGTGAACAAGTATAATCTGTTGTGTCATTTATCTTGTGTTTACAGTTTTTCTTTCTATTTACATATTGTGGTTGTGTTTGAATATTTTTTGTGGAATGAGAAATTATACAGGACGATTAATTCCCAACATTACAGCTGAGCCCATTTTGGCAGAATTTTGTATTTTTTTAATGTGGTAGTGCATGTATAAATTTGTGATCGATTCTAAATGTAATTTTAAATTTGTGCAACTCTGCCAAGGCAGAGTTGTTTGTTTTCAAGTCAAGCTCCGTATCTCTCTCTCTTTTTAGGTTGGCATAACAAAGAAAGAGAGTGTCAAAAAAAACATACCCATCACTTTTGGAAGGTTCAGGATCGTCAGGGAGCTTCTAATAGACTTGATTTCACTTAACCGTCACTATCAAACTACTCTTTGTCGGCTTCTACCACTTGTCCCTCGTCTGCTCGTCGAGTGCGTCCCTGGCTCTTACTCGTCTAACGTAGTCGATCGAGTTTCTTCGTCCCTCTCCCGCTTATTGATTAGGGCGAGTCACTCAGGTCCCTTGACACTCGTTCCTCTTTTCTTTTACGAAAATCTCGGAGTTTATGTGTTTTTCAGAAACTCAACTAAAAACAGAGGGGTTCTCTCACTACGAAAGATACGTACCAGATGGTGTACTGATAGATCTCCTCTCTCTATGTGTGTGTATATATATATTTTAAGTAGGATATTGTAATATATAATTTATTAAAGAATGAAATTTGATTATTTTCTCTTTTTTTCTTCTTCTGATTTTTTGTTGGGATAACTCACAATTTTGTGATTTTTTTTTTTTTTATTTTTAATGAGTATTGTTACTTTTTCTTCTGCTAATTGATGGGGAGATTTTTACATTTACTTTAAGGAGAGCCTTCTTCAATATTAGAGATTTGGGGGTCCATTTGTGGTCATCTCTCACCCCACAATGGAGGACAAATTTTGTACTAATTTTATCAATGAAGAGTCAATTTGACAAACCGTTTCGCTCATATTCGTGGATGAGTATGGAAAGGGGAGAAAAATAAAAATAAATATCACCTAAATTAAAAATAATATAAAATTAATAAATATTCGACTTATCAATGCCACTCTTAGCATTCCATTAGTTACCTCAACGAAAATTTCACTCTTGGGATTTTTTTTGTTCGGCACAAATTTTAGCAAATAGCAAATTTATTTCATATATATATATATATATATATATATATATATATATATATTTTTAACCTATCATTCATTACTAAAGTCTATTCAATAAAATAATTTGTGACAAAAACTATGTTATTTTGCTAATAGATTGGCAAAAATTGCTAAGTAAGATAATTTTAATTTATTTTAATGTCTTGGTCCCTATATTTTAATTTATTTTAATTTTGTCCACATATTTTTATATAGCAATTTAATTCAAAATATTGATTACCTAATTAAATAGTAACAATAAAGATGCATCATTAATTCCTCTGCAACTGTATTAAGATATCATACGAGGTTTTATACAGTAGGGCTAGTTTAGCAGTTTGTTATAGATGATTTTTTTTTTTTAAATCATGGTGCATTAAATAAAATTAAAAAAAAAATGCTTCTTTTCAAACTTATTCCAAAAATAATGCTTTTGAAATTAGTCTCCCACTATGCCATTTTTTGTAGTCGGCTACCATAAGTACGTGATGCTTTATTGGCACCACGTCTGATTTTTTACCATGTGTTAGAACGCATTTCACGGTCGGTTGTTTGAGGGAAATAAATATTATTATATATTTTATATTAAAAAGTATGTTTATTTTGGATACCAATTAGTGGTGTAGCAGATGATGATGCAGTTTTTTCCTTCTTTTCAGCAGTTCGAGCCTTAGATTTGAGACTTCAGGTTGATAATCAAAACTATAGAAAAATTCTCCTCTATTAGAGACGACCATGTCTTGATTTTTTTAATAAATCAGACGTGACGTCAATAAAATGCCATGTGTGGTCGTCTCTTAGTGTGAGAATAATTTCAAAATCATTATTTTTTGAATAAGTTTCAAAAGAATCATTTTTTTCTTTAATGCTATTTAATGCAGCATTATTTTAAAAATAAATTTAAATAAAAATATTATCTAAAAAAATCCTGTTCATTTCAAAAAAATATGTATTATTATTGAAATATATATAATTAGGTGTTTAGAAAAGTTTAATTGCGTTTGCGTTAATTTTTATTTGCACATTTTTCGCGATCCAGATAAAAAATTCGAAAAGATTTGGGGGAAAAGGAATATCCGAATATAGGACTCATATTGAAAGAAACCATTTTCGAGATTTATATTACCTTCCCAATTCCATTACAATAATCAAATTCCGATATAATCCAGTCGTTTACGCAGCATATTTATCCTCGCCAGAGCCCGATTCGTGTTATTTACTTTACATTAAGTTATTTTTTAAAAGCATTATTTTTAAAATAAATTTCAACAAATACATTATACATTTAATATATTTCAAACGAGCATTATTTTATAAATAAGTTTGAAAATAAGTATTATTTGAAAAAAAATATCTCTATTATGTTTGTAGCAATAAAATTATAGCGACTAATCTTTTTGATGCTCATGCCCTAAAATTCTTTGTACTATATTAATTACCTCAAACTTCTACCTTTACCTTGAATGATACTTTAACAATATTAACATCGAAACGAAATAATAAAAATATTGTGTTTAATAAATTTCTAATTTTTTAAGCTGGTATTTATATTAAATTTTTAATTTTGTATGTAATAAGTCCTTTGATGGAACCTATTAAAAATATAGAGTGAATGGAAGAATTAATTAAATTAGATATAATATAAGAGTAAATATTTGAATGCTGTGAATTCTGAAATTTTAGAAAACAATAAAAGAAAAAATGTCAAAAAGGAAAGAAAAAAAAAAGAAGCTAATTAAGAGTAAAAGTTGTGGATTCTCTTTGCTGCAGTGAGTGTGTTGGAAAGAAGCATTGCTACTGTGACTGGACCAACTCCCCCGGGCACAGGACTAATGGCTGAAGCAACTTTGCTCACTTCTTTGTAACACACGTCTCCTTTTACTCGGGATCCACAATGAGTCGTCGCATCCTATATAGATATACTACATATAGTTCAAGTTCAACATATATAATATAATTAACAAACAAAGCATCAATTGATATATAGTAGATACTATGCATGTGAAAAGTTATAATATTAATCACCTTTACTAACATAGTACCAGCATCAATGACAACTGCACCAGACTTGAACCAATTATCTCTCACAAAATTGGGTTCTAGGTTAACACGGGAGATCACAATATCTACTTGTCGTACTAGCGCTTCAGATTAATAGTGAAACGGATCAACCACACTCACTGTTGCCCCTTCCCGTTGCCCCTTCCAACTCAAACAGATAAGCAACGCGCCATCCTAAGATTTCGCAATTATCAAGCAAAAGAGCCCTCTTTCCTTTGATGCTGATATTATATCTATGCAATAATTCAATACATCCCTTTGCCATGCATGGAGCAAAAGGCTGGATGATACGGCCTGTGGTTAGATGTGATATAAATTAAATGATTAAATTTGACTACTCTAAGCTTTCGGCCGGGTTAGTTAATTGGAGATTTTAATCATGTCTATGCGTACCTCCGATCTTCCTCTGTGCAGGGCGGGCGTAGTGTATGGTGTTAAACGCATCTACATCCTTCTCAACGCTAATACTACTCGAAACTAGATCTTCGTGAGGTGAGGGTATTGTAGCAGAGATGCCATGAACAGAAACATTATTGTTGTACTCTGATATACAGTTCCAAACATGGTCTTCTATATAACAGTGCAATTCCCTATCGTCTTTTGTAACTATAGCTTTAGTCTCAGAGATCATCGGGAATTTGGCTTCAAAAAAATTAATACCCACCAGTTTGCAACCCTTTTTTACATTTCGGACATACAGTTCACAATCCCTCTCATTTCCAACATGAATTAAGGCTAATCCAGGAGCAACACCAATAGCATCCTTCACCGCCGCCATACTTCACCACAAATCTCCTCCATCAGTTGTTTAGCCACCCATTTTCCATCCATCACTTTCACCTTCGCTTCTGTCCTTGAAGTCATCACATCACCTCAAATCAACAATAACATAATAATAATAATAATAAACTAAATAAATATTAATCACTCTCAATTTGTTCCTAAACAAAAATTAAAACATGGACAAACCAGAGTTCCAAGAGCTAGAAATAGAGGTTGTAGAACACTGTGGAGAAGAATAGTCATTAAGATGAACATATCCATAGGAGTTGGGGCCACAGAGGCTGATTCGACGATAGGTAGTCAGTTGGAGTTGGATGGAACAACTGAAGCAAATAAGCAACGCGCCTTGCTTCAATTTCGCAGCTGCGACCAATGACAACAGCTTTCCTTTGATGTCGATGCTATATTTATGCAATAATTTAATACATCCTTTTGGCATGCATGGAGCAAAAGCCTGGACACCTGCTAGATATATAGCATATAAATTAAATAAAATGATTTAGCTAGCTAGTCACATGTTTAAAAATAAAATACGTACCTCTGATGTTCCTCAATACACGAGGGGCATAGTGTATGGAGTTAAAGGCATCTACATCCTTGTGGAGGCTAATACTACTCAGTACAGCTTCGTACTCTAAAAGAGGGGAAGGTAATGTAGCACATATGCCATGAACAGAGAGATTATGGTTGTAGCTTGAAATGCAGTCGCGCACGTGTCATGATATGTAATCGTTCGCTTCCACGTCATCTTTTGTATACCTTGTCTCAGAGAGCATAGGAAATTTGGATTCAAAAAAATTAATACCCACAGACTCGCAAGCCTTTTTTACGTTTGCGACATAAAGTTCAAAACTTCCCAGATTTCCAACTCGAATCAAGGCTAAACCAGGAGCAACACCAATAGCATCCTTCATTCGAGATACTTCACCACAGATCTCCTCCATCATTTCTTTCGCCACTAATTCTCCATCCATCACTTTCATCTTCACTTTTGCAGTTGAAATTACACCTAATTAAATTTATTTTGTTTTTTTTAAAAAAAGATATCATATCAATCACTCAATTTGTTCACAAACAAATAAATTAAACGTAGCTATACTATAGAGACGCACAAACCGGAGTGCGAGGAGGGAGAAATAAAAGTTTTAGAACATCGTGGAGAGTAGTCGGTAAGATGAACAAATGATCTGTAGGAGTTGGAGCAACCAAGGCTGATCAGACCAGGGGGATGGGGAGCAATTGAAAGCTTAGTGGGATAATCTGTGAATCTCATTGGGCACCACAAAAATGGTGGAATATCAAACGTAGTCAAATGAGACGCTATTTGCTTATACAAGACTATTAAACAAATACATGGATATATTTGGAAACAAACAAAGCCATTAAATATCTAATTATATGAAAATTTCAAACATAGATATATTATAATTATGTATATATAGATATTCATACCCATAAATAAATATATAAGATTTAAGATTTTGATTCAACACTTTCAAACACGATATTTCGCAATGTACCTATCAAAAATAATATTAATATTATTGCTTTTTACTGTAAAAAATAAGTTAAAATTTATTATTAGTTTAATTAAGAGTAACATCCGCACGTTGATATATGTAATTTTCTAGAAATAAGAAAGAGGAATATTTAATTTCATTGGGAGGAAAACGGTGGGATCCTATGGAATGAAAACAACGCGTTTCTTTGACTTTATTAATACAAATTTGTCTAGATATAATAAGCCAATATATTTATATAAATATATTAGATGCGAAAAAAAAAGTGGTACCATGGAGTAATATTTTTATATGGAAAAACAAGAGATTTAAGGCAACAAATCTTGCAAAATCGAAATGAAATCTTTTTACATTATTTCAACCACTCAAAATTTGAATTTAGTCTGTATAAATATGGTAAAGAAAATCCCGAAAACCTAAACCTTTGAACTTTTAACCCTAAAAAATTTAATAGAAAATCGGAAAGCAAAAACCCTATACACTTTTTCAAAAACCCTATACACTTAAACCTTATAACTTAACAAATAATCTAATAGATCTTAAATATAAATATGGAAAAGAAAACCGTAAGAAGAATATAATAGATTTTGAATACAAATATAGATGAAATTATTATTTTTCTTAATGTAAATATAGTATTTTTCTTAAATGTTAAGATCTTTTATTGATTGTAAATATTTACAAATATATATTATCGTATTAGTAGTGTTTTTCTCCAATTGCCATTCATATATAACCGCAAAACTATTGTTGAAAAAGTAGTAATATTTTTTTTTCCCAAAGGTATGAATATTTGTGATAGACGATGGAGACTGTTAAGCTTTGTCAGAGTGAGAATAGGATTTTGATGAGTGGTGGGTTTCATGAACGAATCAATCTCTATAGTTTAAAAAGTTTTTCGATCCGACTCAAGAGTGTCCCTAACTTCCCAATACTCAGATGTTGTGGTGCAAGTTTGGGTAAACTTTTTATTTGCTTTTTTATAAAACAGAATGGAATGACGACCTAAGAATTAATTTTAAATTATATATATAATCTCGAGAGATTCATATGGTTTTGTGTGTTAATTTTGTTTAGGTGATAATGTTGATGAAGCTGCATCGTTCATTGAAGCATCAAAAGATGCAAATCTAGTGTCGCTTTCTCGATGCTTCTTTTCAAATTGGCTAGATCCAATCTCAGCTTTCCAATGTTTGGTGGGGAAAAAGAATTGGAAACCAGGCGTTATTCTTGAATCCAACTCCGACGACTCATCTTCTTCAGTTAAGTATTATAAGTAAACTATATATTATTTTAATGAATTATGAATGAACTAATTAATTAGAATAATAATTGTTTTGTCGTTACAGGGTCGTTATAGTGTGGTGGGAGCTCAACCAAGTATACATGTAAGGGCAAAAAATGGCAAAGTCAAAATCATGGATCCCATGAAGGATAACGTATTGAAAGACGAAGAATTTGCGTTTCATCCGTTCAGCATTCCAATAAAAATGTTAGAGCAATGGAAACCTAAGTCAGTGGGTCAACTTCCAGATACATTTTGTGGTATTCATTTCTTTTTTTATATAATATATATGATTTCAGTGACAAAATAAAGTAATTATTATAATTGCAAGCGTAGGTGGATGGATAGGCTATTTTTCGTATGATGCAATGCGATATCCAGATTGGAAAAAGTTGCCAACGTCATGGACACCATTTGATGACGTACGGATTCCTGACTTTAATATAGACCTCTACCAGGAAGTGGTTGTATTTGATCATATGGAAAAGGTTAGGTAGCTATATGATATTGAATTCAAATTCATGACGTGATGGAAAAAATAAAAACAGAAAGTGTATATCATACATTGGGTGAGGCTTGATGTGTATCCGTCGGCAGAGAAAGGTTATGAAGAAGGAGTGAGACGTTTGAATATAGTAACGTAAGAAATTAAGGATAGTAAAGGGTGAGTATTTAGTATTTAATTAGTATTTTGAATTACGATTAATTATTATTTAAATATGGATTTTAATTTGAGCAAATTGGGAATTATTGAAGGTTGAGTCTAGACTTTGTCAACTTAAATAGTGCTGCGATTGCAAGCGGGAGTGATTTATATTGAAATCATGAGAGTAAATAAAACTTGCTTATTTTTATTAATGTCAAAGTGGCAGTATATATAGAATAGATCACTGTACAAGCAGTTACCCAAGTTACACAATACAACTGAATTAAGTTAATATACATTGGTAAACTTAAATCCTAATACTCCCCCTCAAGATGGAAGATGTATATTTAGTACACC